ATCCAAGTCAAGTCTCTGTCCATCATCATGTATCCCTCCTACTCCCTGCTCCCCCCGCCCCTGGAATTACCACACTGTCATCCATGTCCATGAGTTCTTTTTATTTTTATTTATTTTTTGCTCAACCCCCCCCCCCCACTCCCACTCTCCTCACTCCACCTCCTCACACAGCTGTCTGCCTGCTCTATATCTATGAATCTGTCTATTTTGCTTGTTAGTACATTTTGTTCACTAGATTCCACATGAAATCATATGGGACTTGTCTTTCTCTGATTGGCTTATTTCACTTAGCATAATGCCCTCCAGGCCCATACATGCTGTTGCAAAGGGGAAGATTTCCTTCTTTTTTACCACTGAGTAGTACATTTACACAATGAAATACTACTGGGCCATGAAAAAGAAGGAAATCTTACCCTTTGCGACAGCTTGGATGGACCTGAAGAACATTATCCTATCACTTCTTAAAGAGCCATTACAACTTTGCCTCTTTTATAAAGCCTACCTTAAAAAACTACAGAATTTATTGTGTGTACTGGTCCTTTTGACAATAAGCATGTTTTGCCTTTTGCTTTAGTCAACTGTATAAAAGGTATAAATTACATGGCAACTACAACTGTATGTACCAATGTAATCATCATCACCTTCAAGATATAAAACATGCCCATCACCCCCAACATTTCCTTCTGCCCCTTTGCACATAGTGTTCCCCTGCCCTAGTCCAAGGAAACCACTGATTTTCTTCATTACTATAGATTAACTTTTTCTTTTCTGGAATTTCATGCAAACGAAAACATGGAGTATGTATTTCTATCTGAGTCTGGATTTTTTCACTCAACATAATGGTTTCAAAAACTCATTCATGTTGTTATATGTGTGTTTGTTCTGTTTTATTACTGAAGAGAATTGCATTGTGCTTTTTGTTTGTTTAATTTTGTATGGTTTCAGTTGTACAATATTATTTGCTTATTCATTCACCTGTTGATGAACATTTGGGTTGTGTGGGGAGCCGGCACGTCCATGGCATACTCAGCCCCAGGGCGCCTTATGTGCCATGCCAGCTCAACCTGGTTCAGTGACCCTGAGTGGGAGCGGTGAAAGGATTAAGAAAAGAGACAAGAGAAGGAAAGCTGGGTCTCAGTGGGACGCTGCTTCTCTGAGAGACAGCGCCAGTGCCCACAAGCCGTGTCTTTATTTTATAGCAGATGCCACGAGGCAAAGTAAGGCCGTGATCAAGATGTTTACAACATTCTCGTGAGTTTCACTCCTACTCAACTACATGCACCTGAACTCTATCAAGCCTACATCACTCAGGCACGTGGGGCCACGTGTTCGGACCATAGGTTCAAGCTTACTACTATAGCTGTTGGCTATAATTGTGCTGGGAGGGCTCTGCTCGCCAAGCTGGGACTTGCACGTGGCAATGAGAGGACTGTGCCCTCTCATCAGTCCAAGGCTTGAACCTGTCCAAAACACTGTAGCCGCGTCCCATAGGGTTGTGTTTAGATTTTGGCTCTTATGAACATTGTGTAAAAGTCTTTGTGTGACTATATGTTTTAATTTCTCTTGAATAAATACCTATGAGTGTAATTGCATGGTTGAATGATGTGGGTCTCCTATCTTTATACAATTTGACAAACTGTTTCCAAAGTAGTTATATCATTTTACATTCCCACCAGCCATGAATGAGTTTCAGTTGCTCTTTCTTTTTCTAACACTTGTTTATTCTAAATCCTTTGCATTTCTATATTGTAAATGGTATTGCTTTTTAATTTCACTTTATAATTGTTGATTGTTAGCATATAAAAATACAGTTGATTTTTCTACATTGACTTTACTAAACTCCCTTATTGGTTCTAGAAGATTTTGTAAATTCCATAGGCATTCTGTGTACATGATCATGACATCTATAGAAAAACGACAGATTATATCTTCCTTTTAAACTTCTATGCATTTTTGCCCTTACTACACTAATTAGGATCTATAATACAATGTTAAATAAAAGTATTGAAGAATGGACATCCTTGCCTTGTTCCTAATTTTAGATATAAAACTTTCAGCCCTTGAACATTAACTATAATATAATTGGTACATGCTTTATGGCTGAAATTCATCATGTTGAGAAGATAAGTTCCCTTCTATTCCTATTTTGCTGAGAATTTTTTTTTTATCATGAATGGATGTTGATTTTTGTCAACTATTCTTTCTAAATCTAATAAGATTATCATAGGATTTGTATACTTTATTCTTTTAGTTCGTGAATTGAATTGATTGATTTTTTAATTTGAAGCTAATCTTGTATTACCTGAACTAAACTATACTTGGACATATAGTATCATTGGCAAGTATATGGTTTTATTTTATAACTGGATTTTCACCAAAAAGATAAAAAGAATAAGAAAGCGAAAGAGGGAGTTCGGGGTTGTGGACAGGATTATCTTCATTATTTTGGCAGGCAGGTAAAATTTTGCATAGAGCTAAACATATTTTGCTGATACTCAACTGTCAAGTTAACTGGAAGTGACAGATTTGCAAAAGCAAAGAGATAAGTATATGAGTCAAGATTTGAAAACCTATAGCACATCAAATCATTTGATGTTGTGTTTTTAACTGGTCTCTTCTTTCACTTGCTTAGCTATATAAGACAATTTATTCTGTTCACTCTTGATGTCCAAGGCTGAATCTGTCTGAGTCATTGGAGTAAATGCCAAAGATAGAGGAAGTTCTAGACTATAATTCATCAGCCTGACTAGTTGCATTACACAGAAGTTTCCCAAACACTTTCACTTTGGCCTGAATACTGGAAAGAGAATAAATTATCAATGAGTTTGACTTTGCTTTTCACATATCTTCCATATACAAAAGATCAATTCAACTGATCAGTTAATTGAAGAGTCAAAACATACCCACACTACGGTGAGGACCCTTTTCAGAGAAATCTGTTTGCTTTTATGCACTGAGCCTTCTTCACAGTGAATAGGTGCTGAAGTGACATCATTTAATAGATTATCAACATGTATTGTGTTTGTACAACTTCATTTTCAAATGCAATCCAAAAATGTAAGTCATAGGAGAATTATATTAAAGGTAAACTTATATAGTTCTATCTTTCCAAAAGTTTCAAGTAGTAAAAGAGTATAGATAATACTTTTCAAGATCACATCAGGATGGCTGGAATTAGAACTTAGGCAAACTGGCTCCATAGTCCAAGTTCTTAAGGACTCTTCCATACTGTTCTTTACCATTTCTAAACCATAAATTGCTAAACATTCTGGTCAAGCAGAAATCTATAAACTATTAATCTCTTTGCTTACAACCATTATTTTTTCTAAATCAACAGCTGACTATGGTAATGTTACTAATATTAAATTATTAGATATCAGAGCTTTAGCACTATTTTAGAAAACCCAATCATTGGTCCTTTATACCTTACAGAGAAATACATAATAAGATAATAAGATTGGCTATAGTGTTTTTATACTTCCCTGAGGAAAATTACAATGTGAAATGGAAATTTTGATTTGTGGTAGAAGTGATAGAGAGGATGAGGATTTGGAAACTTAGAAAGTAACATAAGACTAAGTACCTATAGATTATGTGGAAGAGGCTAAGAAAATACATCTAAAAAATATAAGAGGGCCTGAGAGAAGAAAAAATAAGAAGTGATAGAAAATTAAAACAAAATTATAGTGCTTTGCAATGTTACCCATGGTTCTGGTTCAACTGTCTTCAGACCACTGGAAAAATATTTTATTGGCATCTTTGGTTGTTGTAACACAGGCTATTAATACGCAAGTTAAAAAAAACCCTATGAAGAAACTTTTGTAAAGAGTTCCTTTGTACCATGAATAATTATATCTGATATTATTAAAGACTTAAAAAATTATCTTATCTTTATTTGTGTTTATAAAATTATGACTAATATCCACTGACTATGTCTACATCTAAGCCAAGCATTTTAAAGTCTAGAATATGCATGTCTATCTTTACAGAACAGATGTATGCCCAACAAAAAGGAGTTTTAGTAATTTAATTAGATTTTAAAAAATTAATTTTTGTTGCCTAAATAACAATACATTTTATCACTGAGAAGAGAATTTACACTATACAGAGAAGCGAAAAACAAACAAAAAACTCCACACAAACAAAAAAACAAAAACCTAAAAAATCAGTCATAATCTCATCATGCACAGCTAACAACATTATATTTTGGTATACTTTCTGTCATTATCTATGCATTTAAATAATTTGGACTCATGTATTTTATAATATAGTTTCTCCTTTAATATATCATGTTTTAATGTTACTAAATATCCTACATCATGATTTTATGGCTTCAAACACTTTATTGTACAGATATACAGTAATTTATTAAAACCATATTATTGGAAATATTTTTTTATTTTATTAAATTCATTGGGTGACATTGGTCAACATGAACATATAGGTTTCAGATGTGGGTTTCTATGTTACAAGATCTGTATACTGCATGATGTACTCACTACCCAAAGTAAAATCTTCTCTTGTCACTATATATTAGGACTCTCTTCTCCCCTCACCCCCTTCCTTCTGGCAACCACCCACCACACTGCTGTTTGTGTTCATGGGTTTCAGTTTTATATCCTACATATGAATGAAATCATGTGGTTCTTACCTTTTTTCTGACTGACTTATTTCACTTAGCATAATTTAAATATTCTAATTTAAATATTCTAAAAGTCTATCCATGTTGTTGCAAATCATTCTATTTCATCCTTTCTTATGGCTGAGTAGTATTCCGTTGTGTATATGTACCACATCTTCTTTATCCAGTCCTCTAACGCAGGACACTTTGGTTGTTTCCATGTCTTGCCTACTGTGAATAATGCTGCAATGAACATAGGGGTGTATATATCTTTGGAAATACATTATTTTGAGGTTTTTGGGTATATATGCAGGAGAAGAATTACTGGGTCGTATGGTGGCTCTATTCTCAATTTTTTGAGGAATCACCATACTGTTTTTCGTAGTGGTTGTACCACTCTACATTCCCACCAGCAGTGGATAATATTTTCCCTTTTTTCCACAACCTCTCTAACATTTGTTATTGCTTGTCTTGTTGACAATGGCCACTCTAACTGGAGTGAGGTGGTATCTCATTGTAGTTTTGGTATGCATTTCCCTAATTGCCAGTGAGGTTGAATATTTTTTCATATATGTATTGGCTGTTTGTATGTATTATTGGGAGAGGTGTATTTTCAGGTCCTCTGCCCACTTTTTTTTATTGGGTTGTTTGTTTGGTGTTGAGGTTTATGAGTTCTTTATATATTTTGGAAATTAAACCTTTGCCAGAGCTACTGTTTGCAAATATCATCTCTCATCTGGTTAGCTGCTTCTTTGTTTTGTTGTCAGTTTCTTTTGCTGTGCAGAAGCTTTTTAGTTTGATATAGTCCCATTCATTTATATTTGTCTTTACTTCCCTTGCCTTTGGGGGCAAGTTCATAAGATGTTCTCTACAACCCAGGTCCATAAGTCTGGTACCTATATTTTCTTCTATGTAACTTATTGTTTTGGGTCTTATATTTAGGTCTTTGATCCATTTTGAATTAATTTTTGTACATGAGGACAAACTGTAATCCAGTTTCATTTGTTTGCATGTGGCTTTCTTGTTATCCCAGCACCATTTATTGAGGAGACTACCTTTACTCCATTGTGTATTTCTGGCTCTTTTGTTGAAAATTATCTGTGGTTTTATAGTTGGGCTCTCTATTCTGTTCCATTGGTCTCTGTGTTTGTTTCTCTGCCAATACCATACTGTTTTGATTATTGTAGCTCTGTTGTATAATTTGAAGTCAGGTAGCATGATACTTCCAGCTTTGTTCTTTTTTTCCTCAGGATTCCTTTGACTATTCAGGATCTTTTGTGGTTCCATACAAATCTGAAAGATTTCTCATCATATTTCTTTAAAAAATGACATTGGGGCTTCCACTTCCTTCTCTCTCTCCTCCATCGAGGTGCGTGTGTTTGCTTCTCCTTCACCATGTCTTCCCACAAGATTTTCAGGATCAGGAGGTTCCTGGCCAAGAAACAAAAGCAGAATTGGCCCATTCCCCAATGGATTCAGATGAAAACTGGTAATAAAATCAGTTACAACTCGAAGAGGAGACATTGGAGAAGAACCAAACTGGGTCTATGAGAAATCACACATGAGAGATGACTCACATATTTATGCTGTATCCAGGTTGCCTACACCTTTAAATGATTGAAAAGATGCTACTGTCTGGACAGTTGGGGCATTTTAATTGGAAAATTAATGGACTTGTGATTTTGCTCTGTTGATTTTTTTCCCCTGCAATAGTAGGTTGGTTCAGTAATAAATGTGTGAGACCATTTAAAAAAAATGACATTGGGATTTTGAAAAGGATTGCATTAAATCTGTATAGTGTTTTGGGTAATATAGCCCGAAGTTATAGGGGCTTATCTCCACAGCATTGGAACCCTGTGCTGAGGAGTCTGGTGTGGGGCTGGGACCCCTTGCTCCTCACAGAAGGCCTCTGCAGCATAGATATTCCCCCTGATTAAAACAACAACAACAACAATACACGTGGGTATTGATCCAGCCCATTCTGCACCTCTGCCCCTCCTACCAGCCTTGCTTTCTTCTTTAATTCTCTAGTTGTAGGGCTTCCATTTAGCCAGAATCAAGGCAGTTCTGAATGATAATTATTTTGTATTTTAGTTGTAATTTTGATGTGTTGCAGTTGATTTCGAATTTTAAGGCATTGTGGTCAGAGAATAAGCTTGGTATGATTTCAATCCCTTTCAATTTATTGAGGCTAGTTTTGTGACCCAACATATGGTCTGTCCTTGAGACAGTGTTTAATGTGCAGTGGATAAGAATGTATAATCTGATGTTCTGGGATGAAAAGTTCTGTAAATGTCAATTATGTCCATTTGGTCTAGTGTTTCATTTAAGGCTGCTATTTCTTTATTGATTTTCTGTTTGTTTGATCTGTCTAGAGCTGTCAATGAAGTAGTAAGGTACCCAACTATGATTGTGTTTTATCTGTCCTACCTTTAATTCTGTGAGTAGCTGTTTTATATATTTTGGTGTTCCTTGGTTGGGTGCATATATACTATTAAGAAGTGTTATGTTTTCTTGATGCAGTGTTCCCTTTATCATTATAAAGTGTCCATTTTTGTCTCTTATTATGTTTGTTATCTTGAAATCTATTTTGTCAGATATAAGTATGGCTACATTTGCTTTTCTGTGGATATTATTTGCTAGGGGAATAATTTCCCACCCTCTTACATTGAATCTACTTTTGTCTTTGCAACTTAAATGTGTCTCTTGTAGGCAGCATATGGTTGGGTTTTGTTTTTTGATCCACTCTGCTCCTCTGTGCCTCTTTATTGGTGAGTTCAGACCATTTACATTTAGGGTAATTATTGATGTGTGAGGATTTCCTATAGCCATTTTATCTTTTTTTTTCTGGTAGTTCTTTTCCTTTGTGTTTCTGTTGTTGTTTTGTTTGGTGGTATTCCATACTTCTTTCTTCTGTTTCCTTTTTTTTTTTTTAATACAAAATGCCTTGGAGAGGGCCTCTTTGGATTGAGGTAACTAGTTGTTCTATTTGCTTCTTGGATTTAAGGATCTAGTTCTCTCCATAGGTTTTGGAAGTTCTCATCCACTATTTGTTTGAATAGACTCTCTGATTCATGCTCCCTGTCCTCCTCTTCTGGAATGCCTATAATTCTAATTTAAAGGATAATTTTGCTGGATATATTATTCGTGGCTGGTAATTTCTCTCTTTCAGGTATTTGAAAGAATTATCTGAAAAAAATGGCACTCTGATTAAACTGCATTTTACAGCCTGCAGGACACCTTGGACTAGCTTGGTTTTACTCTAGATTTCACTGTCATCCCACCCAGCTTGTTCCTGCACCAACATGCAAGTTTTTTCCCTTCCCTGCCAGCCAGACAGGCAGATGGGAGAGGCAGGTGTGGCCTTCTGCCTCTTCCATAAGACAGTACAGCCTTGCTTTTTTGATGGAGTCAGATAGTTCTTGCAGAACTC